CCACCTGCAGCCCTCCCACCACCACAGAGCGTATGGCTGCATCCACTGTCTTATTTACATGGAAACGTGTTTCATTCCCTAAACACCAGATCTAAAACAGATAGGGGGGAAAACAGAGAAACAGTTGACTCCATTTGGCTTTGTATAGGCTGAATAAAGATTGATGCTGACTTGCTGGGACAAACCTTGTACTCTTGTATGATGCCGTTCTGGTGGTCTGGTGGAGGGGGGTCCCAGGAGATGCTTATGGAAGTGCTGTTTTGGTTTCCTACAGTCAGGACTGTTACCTGCTGAGGAGGGGCACTGGGAGCTGAGAGAGGGGGGGACAAAATAACTACATCAACAATCAAACACTATTCTGCAGCTCAAGCAGCAGAAGGATATGTAATTCTTAAAAACAAAAATACTGCAGAGCAATAATACATACAGTACATCTGAATGTATTTAAACAAAACCTTATAAACATACACATACTGAGAAACAGACACAGTTTTCTAAGGAATGCTATTGTTCAGTGACGGCACAGGTGGCTGAAGGCTGTCACGATGTCTCATTAGATGGTGATTTACATAAAGACCAGGACAGGTTTAGCTATAGCCTATCTTTACCATTTTACTATGGTTTAATATCTCATCCTCTGCTCCAGCCTGGTGGATTTGCACAGAGGATACTGGTACAGTATTGATTTGTTAGAATGATGGCCTGGCACAGTCAGGCAAGTGGTCTCAGTGAAGCAGAGACTCCAGCACTGACTGAACCAGGGTGGCATGTGGGTCAGTGAGCTTATAAGATGAAGCCCAGACAAAAAGGAAATATGGAAAAAAAAGGAAGCACTTTATGGGAAGGAAACAAGGTTTCAGTAAACATATCGACTGATTCCATCGATCAGCCAGATGAAACTAAAGCCAGCAGGTAAGAATCAGAGGGAAGGTTCAGAGCGAGGCACATCTAAATGAATCGGTTAAGACAGAAGGGATAGAAACAAGACCAGTCCCAGCTTTCATAAACCTCGCTCTGCTGTTATTCTGATGGCAACAATCTACTGACCCCACAAGGGGTAACAGAGGAAAAATAAATAACAGTTCTAGCCCAACTGGAAATAACGTTTTAAAAATAATGTTTTCTCATTTCCGCAGTGGCTGGCAGGGGAGCGGCACCACAACAGAATACTGACAGGTCAATTACTCCTGAGCTGCCTCTCCCTCACCTTACCTCCATCCAAAATGGCACATGTCACCCTGTAAATCTGTGCTCATCCCTCAGCGCGACTGGTCGCACTGGCCCCGAGAAAGCTTGAAGACCCTGGCATGGTGGAAGATGAATGGGTGCGATGATGAACCCAACACCTTGGTCAGATTAAAAAAAAATCTACCAAGGGAAAGCCTGATCAACCATGATGCTCAGGGTCCTCCGAGGGATCCGAGTGACTTGGATTGGTAGGATTGGTATGTAGCAGCAATCAGAGACAATGTCATTCAAAGTTAATGTTGAGAATGATTTAGCAGGTTATTATCATACTTATTTGTGCTAAACAATGTACATTTTTCATTAGAGGGCCTGGTGGCTGTGCTAATAGAGCCATTAGCAGAATGATATATAGCAGACAGGAATGTGACCCCCTGTCTCACACACAGAGTCCTGTGCTGCATAATAAAAGAATCCAAACATGTCATATCCAAACCAAAGGAAAAAAGAACGAAAGAAATGTAAAGCAGTGGGTGGCCTGGGAGGAGCACCGTGGACCTTTCCTACAGATACTCATCAGCATGAATGAAGATTAATGCACTACAAATGAACATTTATTCAAACACTACCGGTTTCCCTTCCCCCTACATAAAATGGGTTTTGCATGAAAGATGGCCTTCCTTAGTGACTTCCTAGACAACCATTCAATGGGAATCAGTTGGCAACCAGAGTTCATTTATCAGCCATGATATGACTGTCCAGATGGAGAGTGAGAGAACGTGTGAAACAAGAGGAGGAAGGCTACAAAGATGGACACAGCATTTGAGCGCTGAGCATACTGTAACCCGGCAAAGTCTGGGCCTGCTCTGGAGATTCTCTTATTGCATGAGCTAACAGACAACCTAGGTTTTAATCATCCACTGAACTAGACTTCTATATCCATCTAGCTGCCCTTCTCAGTAGTCCCAGGGTCTCTGAGGAGCCTAGAGCAGTGTGTTTGATGGTGTATCAGCTATGACCAGCCACAGCAGTAGGGTTGCGACAGAAATAGAAAGTGGTCGAGCTCTCTGAGGAACTGGGATGCAGATAGAGCAGAAGCAAGGAGCGTTATCAGCATTGGTATTAGCTGTGACACAGGCTCTGCAGGTCTCAGAGAGAGGAGATGTGCGGGCATGTATGCGTTTATTGAAGGTGTGTGTTGGAGACAGCTGTAATGTGATGGCAGGTCCACTACAGCAGTGTGCGCACTGGCTGGCCACAGCTGATATGGCCCCTTTGAGAAAGGGAAAATAAATGGGCCTGTCACTCCAACAGGATGTGAACTGTCTCCTATACATGCAGGCCTAAATAAGTTGTGGCAAGACGGGTTTTGTCTCCACTATAAAGAGTCTGTATCTGTCTTTCTGTGCCGTTGGGGGCATATAGTATATTTCTTTACTTTAGAGCATAACTTAATTTCAGCTGTTAGACTTGAAGGCTGAAGCAAGGCAGGTGCAGTGTTGCCGGATGCAATTCTGTTTTGGCCCAGGTTAAGATTATAGATTTATCCAAACACAGATCTGAGTGTGTGTCTGTATATGATACTGTGCCATACTGCTCTGTGGCCTTGTCAGAGCCTGTATGAATCAAGCTCTGGGCGACAGATCATATTTGCAAGAGGAAGTGTGCGCAGTGTCCAATCACAGCTCAGGCCCACGGCTGCTGGGTGATGGATTAGAAGAAGGTTGGCACTAACACCATCATTCATAAACAAAAAAGCACAGCAGAAAGTTCAGACAGACAGGCACAAACATGCATGCACGTCCACATGCATTCACACATGCAGCCTCAGTTCTCAGTATCAAAGGGAGGAGCAGTGGCCCTGGTGATATTATGACAAAAACCAACATGAAAGCACCCTACGTGGTCATGTGTCACCCATCATCCCACAGTTGTGTGGACACAACACAGTTTGACTGACTATGCGCTGCTGCTCTAGATATGATCTGCAACTTTGTACCTTCTTCAGTTGTCCGTGCCATCCGAGATTCACTGTCCATGCCTTGAAACTCGTTGAAGTAAGGCCGGACCTTGATCTCATACATAATTCCTTTCTTGAGTGCAGAGAGGACGACACCGCGTTCAGAAGGGACCTTCACATCTTGGGTCTGCCAGGGTCCCGGCGAAGGCAGCCCTGACGTCTGCCTGTACAGAACTCTGTAACCCTGGATAAACTGGGACTGACGATCCACCTGAGAAAGTGAAGGAAAGCAAGATTACTTCTGTATTTCAATGCCAAAAACAACAAAACAAACATAAAAAAACAAACTCTAAAGAGGAGGCTGGTAGATGCTAGTCACTAGATAGTACCAAAGGATGTTTTCTGCAGTGTCCTTTTTCCTCGCAGCATTGCCTGTATGACACTTTAGAGGCTGTTACTCATTTAATGGGCCTTTTATCACCAGCTATGACACACTTAGCTCAGTTAACACTCTGACATTACCTCATACACACAGTTTCCAGCACAAAGCAGCCCCATTTTCCTTTAAAACGACTTTCCGTAATTCCACCCTAAATGACATGTACATGTCTCATATGTATAATAAATATAACTAGTGACACCGGAAAGCAGGTCCCACCACATCTGAAATGGGTTGTGAGCATGAGAACGTTATGCAGCAACAAATAAAGACACCCTAGGTACACAAAGCGATTACACAACAGAGGTAACAGAGCAGCTCTGTCCCACCGGAACAGCAGAGAGTCTAAAAGTGTGAGAGCCCCCTGTAGCCCACAAAGGATCCCTCCCTTAAAACCTTAGCCCATTTGCTTAACAGAAAAGGCTGCATTTATGCAAAGGAGGAACAGGTGCATAACTCATAGTAATGGCTTGTTAACAGTAGAAGAAGTGAGCAGGGTTTTCAAGTGGGATATTAAGCAGCTGTTTTTCGCCAGTGTAGCTAAAGTAAATCAGCAAAATGGATTCCCTGCTTGGTGCATGACTTTCATTAATAGAATGATTTGGGAATATAAAAGCACTCTGAGACTTGCCCCTCTGTTTACTGAAAGGGCCCCTGATTGATTAGGTAGCCATGTTTTGTGTTGATTGTACATTACAATCATGAAGCAATGCTTTTGCATTAAATCAGCTACCAAGTCTTGGGGTGAGACTTATTACCGGGGTCAATAAACATGTCATCACAAAAAGTGCTAATGTGGTTCATTTGAAAATGGAAACAGGCACCCCATGCCACTAAGTAATAGGTGTATATTGTAAATAGCTGCACCTCTGTGATTTATAGCAGCAAAGTCAGAAAAACAACAGCACATATTCTGTAACACCTCAGCTTTGAGGAATATAAATAGCCATTTTGTCTTCATTGCCATACAATTAAACAAGAGACATTTTAGCCAAGGCTGCAGTTGTTTTTACATTTCACATTGAATAAAACTGTCTAATTTGGGAATGGCAAACACTATAATATCTGCAAACGTGCATGTATGTAAAGTTCAACCACAAACATTAATTTCAATCCATCTTTATATGTGCAAAGTCTTTGTTTTAAGAGGGAAGCAGCTGGAGACATACCGTACATGTATAGAAGCCCGATGAACAACTGATGTCTCTGACATCTCTTTTGATGTTGACGTTTCTAAGCTACATGATGTTTAGTTTCTTTTAAGTCACCAATTACTATATTTCAAAGCTGCAACGAACAACCTGACAAACATTTCCAGACATAAAACAAGTGGTAGCCTCAAGGAGCACCTTTCTGGCTTCAAAGAGGAATCTTATGTTAATATCAATGATCTTGACTTTATGATTCCATTTTGCAAAATCAAAGATGTAGAAGAATGCAGAGGTAATAAAACGACAGGCAAACTAACCAACTGTTAAGTTCTTCTAATCCAAAGACTTGAACTGAACAACTGAAAACAGCATATCTTCTGAAAGTGTAGTGTCACTTAAATATAGTTGTAATCTGTGTGCAAAATGACACGCTGCACTTACTGTCCATGTGACCTGAATGGTTGTGGGACTCAGGACAGCTGGGTTGTGCAACCGAACTATGACCTCCCCAAGCTCCTTTTGTACGTGCCTGTGGTCAACACCCTGAGCTGGAGGACTTATATCTATAAGAGCAAGAAAGACAAATAAGAAAAGAGAAAAAGAGAAAACTAAAGTTTGAAAAAAAAATTTCCCATTCTTTTAGTTTTCACAGAGCGCCCTCAGCTCCTCTCAGTAAAACTTGTTTCATTACCATTACAGGCAAAATGGTAAAACTGGCTGAAAAGACCAATTGGATTTACCAAAGACACATGCACTTGGTGATTATGACTTCATTTGAAAAGGAGCAACTTTATCTACATTAAAATGACCTCATTCCATTTCGTATTAATGCACCCGTTTGGTTTGGAGAAAAGCAAGGAGACTTGGGCTGGCGAAGTGCTTTAGATGCGCGGCTTGTCTGCCCTTACAGGGGCCTGAGTGAACAACTACATCAGCAAATGCAACAATAGTGCAACCCCCAGACATAGTGGATTGGAGACTATGACAATTTTCCAGCTTGTTTCCTGTTTTGCACATACTGTACTGTACATTTTGAGGTATTTACTGAATGGAACCAAAGAACAAAAAAAAAACTTCATTCAGCGAGCTCAACAGCCATGAATCACAGGCCACACTATGAGGGCAAGACAGGCCAAGCATAGTTAAAAAGAAGTGAGAAAGCAATTTGTCATGAATACATGCCATTCCCAATTAATGTGTCTATATTATCTCAAGACCTTCACCTCAGCATGACAGATATGCTGCAATTCATATTGACTCTGTATTTTATTTATTTTACATACTATTGATTTGCATTTGACAGAGCTTGACCAAAGGTTGTTTTGCTTAATTTATTTATTTTTTGCTTACGAATTATCATATCAGTGTAACCTGGAGGCAGTGGCCTGTCCAGTACCTTAATCAAATCTTCCTTGGCTTTGGAGGTAGTAATTTTCTCTTGTTATGATCATTAACATAGCAGGGATAGCACTAACCCACTTAGGTCTTCCAAAAGTAGATATGCTTATTTTACATAATTGCTTAAGTGTAGCCTTAATGAGCCTCACTGAGATGGAAAATGTGACTGCTGGAAAGCTCTGCGGTGGTTCGGTATAGCTATTCAATACAGATGTCTGAGGGGGAGAGAGTCACACTTTGAAGGGAAGAACAGTGACCTTATCCTACCAGTAGAAACAGATATTTTACTCATTAAAAAAAAAGAAAACTATATACCAGTAGTGAGAATGGTAATGACAGGTTCTGAAATAACTATATATACTGTATATTCAGTAAATACTGTTAATATAATGAAAAGTCCTTTCATATTCCTGTAATGTAAGTTACCTTGTGTTCTGACAGGATCAGACATGGGGCTTGGATCACTCAGGCCCTGGCTGTTGACTGCTCGGACCATGAACAGGTAGATGGTGTTGGGTCGGAGACCTTTGACGGTAAACTGGGTGGTTTTGATGTGGTCTGCTACTGTTTGCCAGCTATTGCTCACTGACTGACTGCAATGCAAGAGAAAAGGGTGGCTCCACATTATTTTATCATTTTATTTATCAGCGTACAATATATTTACACCTACAATCAGTAGAATAACAAGGAAAATAAATATTTACACACATTCTTCCTCTGTAGCACAGGCAGTCTGAGAGCTTCATACTGCATTTCAGCCTTTACAAATGACTCTGTTGAGTCAAATTGGTTTTAAATTCTGAAAAAACAAAGTTCATGTTCTTCTCAAAAGCATATCCACAGCTACTTGGCAACTGTAGTATCCTCACATCTGATGGAATATCTATTGAAAGAGTG